ATTGCCAATAGTAGAGAATATTCGAGTCCCAGGAAGCAGTTCAGAGGAAGAAAAAGAACTATGGTCATCATTATAAGAACTTATATCCAAAAACACTTTCATTCGGTAAATGCTCTTTATATTTATCTTATTTTTAAAGTTTTGGTGTAAACATCGAACAGAAGTGCAGTTTATCAATTTATCAATGAAGACTCTGAAAACGAAGAAAATAATGACAGACTTCATTCGACGGTAGTCAATAAAAAGCTATCCACTAATGTTAATATGTACAGAATATTTTGACTAAAGAATAGTTCCTTCTATATAAGGAAATTGGTTCCATTCCATTTTCAACTTAATAACATAGTTAAATTTATTGTTCTAATTTATAGCAATTTTTTACAACTCCGGACGTTGGGGTTTATCGGAAAAATTTTATTTATCTTAACAGGCACCTCGTGCTTCTTATAGTTCTTTTAAGTACTTAATATCCCTAAGGCTGCTCACTCTTATTGATAAGTTTTCGTAAATGCGTTCCCGCTGGTATGCGAGACATAATCAAACATTTACAAACTTAGGCAAGTTGTTTGCAGCACTCTCCATACTGTACGTGTAGTCATCACTGGCTGACACCGAAAAAGAAGCCTGAGATTAACAATCTAATGTCCATTAGATATTCCATTCCATTAAATATTCCCAAAGTTTACATTTTCATTGTTGTCGTTTTGTCGATAGCAATGCTGATTTGAAACGCTCCAGAGTCAGCGATATAAGACGTAAATACCCGAAGGAATTCCTGGGAATATTATGCAATCGAGGCTTCCGGTCCCCTCCGGTCTATAGGGAACCCCCTAAAACGACGACCACGGGGATTGCCTTTTGGATAGCGGTCGACATTCGCCCTATTATAATACCGTTTTGAGTAAGGATTCTTTATTGAAGTTAAATTATGTGTCCAATCGGTGCCTGGCCTGCAGGGTTAATACAAAATTTCAAGGAAGTCGGTTCCGCTATTCGCCACAATTGGACGCACATCGTGGTCTGCAGATACATGGAAAGAGATACACTGTCTGCTAAGGAGTTCTTCTCCAAGTTATTGAGAATTATGATTAAAAACAGCTCGAACTGGTCATTAGGAATCGCGCTACAGCATTCCACTCAAACCCGAAATAGCTAGATCTCTAATCACCAAGGAGAAACAGCGCCAATAAAAGACATGATATTTGCTGCTCCGCAACGCCTCCGAGACGGTCACTGTTGCTCAAACGGTTTCAAATTTTAGATTTGGACTTAAACACCCATGCGCTATTTCCCTGATCAGACATTTTACTTAATCCTCGCGCCGGATCAATTCGCAGGAATAAAACTAGCCTAAAGAATGATCTCAAACAGAGAGACGCGTGAGAGTCAAGCTTTTTCGGAGACATATATTGGATAAGTGAAGTAAGTTGCATTCCGATATGATATGATGAAAAGAAAGATCTTCGAGTACAGCTCGAGTACAATTCAATCTTCCGAAGATCTTCTTTCTTTTTATCCGAAAAATATATGTCAGGCTGTTCGTTAAATGAACGCAGATAAAACACACCGCTCAAAGTTTCTGAAA